CATATTCAACCTAACAGGGTATCTCCCAGGCTCATGCCTGGTGTCCCAGTTTCTAATGATGGACTCACTGTCTTCCCTTGGATCAGCATCTCTCTTCATAGACAAGCCTTACCGAGGGTGTTGTTCTTGATTCTTCCAAGACCTTGAGTTCCAAAGCATTTTTCTCCTCTCAACACTCTGACTCATTATTCTATTTTACTGAAGTACTTAGAATGTGAGCCTTTGGGAAGAGCTCTATACAATCATATAAATGAATAGGCACATTTATTTGAAATGTTTTCAGATTTCTTAGAATGAAATTTTATGTTCTTTCCTTGGCACTAAGTTCTTAAAGTGGGTAACAGTCCTGGAGGATATCCTTGCCCAATTGAGGGGTGTTTATAAGGCAATCTAAAGACCAGCCGATAGATAACAGTTCATTTTGCCAATAGTTGTTGAGCACCTACTCCACGCTGGGCGCTGGGCACTGTGCTGAGAGCTGGGTACACAGCTGTGAGGAAAACAGACACAGCCCTACCTTCAAAGATGACACAATGTAGTAGAGAAGAGAAAAGAAAATAAGTCAATAAACTCAAAAATAATCATAAATGAGTGAGTAGTGCTATGAAAGAAATGAACAGGAAACAATGATAGGCAATAATAGGAGGGAAACTTCTTAGATGAGAGAAGGCAGAGGAGGCTCTCTGAGGCCTGAAGGATAAGGAGTGAGTGGTACAGGAACCAGCTGGATGGAATAGCATAGATGAAACCTGGAGGTAGGAAAGAGGTTCATGTGTTTAACAAACTAAGTGGAGCAGCGAAATGGAGAGGAGAGATAGAGGGAAAAGAAAGAGAGTTGGGGTCATGTACAGAGTTTGGATTTTACATTAAACATAGCGAAAATATAGTCACTTTGGAAAACAATGTGACAGTTTCTTTAAAAGTTAAATATAAATTTACTATATAGCCCAGCAATTCCACTACCATTTACCCAAAAGAAATGAAAACATGTGTTTACACAAAGCCTTATACATGAACATTCATAGCAGCATTATTTATAATAGTCCAAGACTGGAAAAAAAATTAATTGCCCATCAATAAGAGCATGGACAAATAAATAGTGGTATGTCCATAAAATGGATTACTGCTAGGCAAATAAAAAAGGAACAGACTACTATTACAAGACAGCCTTGTGTTGACTAGTGCCTACTTGGGTGTATATCATTATGAAAATTCACTGAATAGGCAAAATCAGATTTGCACATTTTATAGTTTGTAAATTATATTTCAACATTGAAAGTGTAATGGGAAGTTGCTGAAGAGTTTTCAAAGCAAAGAAAAAATGTAATTTGATTTGTTTTTTACAGATTCCTCAGATCACTTTTTGAAAACAGATTTGAAGGGAGTTTAAGAACAAGTAGGGTGATCAGTAAAGGGGTTAATGCCATAGTCCAAGAAAAAGATTCTGAAGGCTTAGAATACTGAGGAATAACAGAAGCCAATAGATAGACTTAAGATATACTTAGGAGGTAGAAATGACAGGATTTATTGATTTTTTAAAAAGATGAGGTGTAAGAATCACTTGAACCCAGGAGTTTGAGACCAGCCTAGGCAACATAGAAGGAACCCCTCTGTACAAAAAAAAAATTGAATTAGCCAGGCATGGTGGTGTGCACCTGTAGTCCAAGCTACTTAGCAGACTGAGGTGAGCGGATCTCTTGAGCCCAGGAGGTCAAGGTTGCAGTGAATTATGATAGCACCACTGCACTCCAGCCTGGACAACAGAGAGAGATTCTGTCTCAAAAAAAAAACCAAAAAAAAAAAAACCCAACAACAACAACAAAATGAAGAAATAAAGGACAACACTTACATTTTTGGCTTGAGCAAGTGGGTGGAGAGTCTTGCCATTTACTAAAATGAATAACTATGAGTAAACTATGAGAGGAGCTGGTTGAAAGATATAGGGGAAAGAAAATCAAGAGTTCTGTTCTGGCATTGAAAACACATGAATATAAAGATATGAACAACAGACATTGAGGACCACAAGAAGGAGGCGCGAGGGAGGGCAGCAAGGGCTGAAAAATACCTATTAGGTACTGTGCTCATTAACTGGGTGGTGAGTTCTATCTTACCTCCAAACCTCAGCATCATGCAATATACCCTTGCAACAAACCTGCACTGGTACTCCCTGAATCTAAAACAAAAGTTGAATTAAAAAATTGAAGAAAAAACAATTTAAAAAATTTTAAAGATATCTGTTTTGGGCACATTTAGGCTTAGATGCCTATGACATATCCAACTAAAAAACTCAAGTAGGCAGTTGGATATGTGTGTCTAAAGGTCAAAGGAGAGATTGATCTGGAGATATAAATTAAGACATCATCAACATGTAGATGGTATCTTGGGTCATGAAAATAAATCATTTAGGAAGAGAGTGTAGAGAGAACAAGTACTGTAAAAAAAAAATCAATATGTAGACATTGGTATAGGAAGAGCACCTATAAAAGAGACTGGGATGAAATTGTCAGAGATCTAGAGATAGGAAGAAAACCAAAGGTGGACTGTCAAATAAAGGAGTGGCCACTGGGATACAACTCAACTGAGAAACTGAATAAAATGAGAGTATAAATTGTCCTTTGGACTTGGCAACCTGGAGATTGTTGGTAACCTTGACACAAGAAGTTTGGGTGAAGTGTTAAAGTCAGAGACCAAACTCGAGAGTCTGAAAACTAATCAAAGACTTAAACCATGGAACAAGTATGTAAACAGCTATTTTGAGATGTTAAACTGTGAAGAGATGCAGAGAAATGGGCAATAGCTGAAGAGGGACGAAGGAATCAAAGAAGGACTTTTAGGCTTAAGGGAGCATCAATCATGTTAGTGAACTGAAGAGACTAGCCCTAGGGAAAAGGGTAGGGTTGGTAATTTAGGATGAATAGGAGATACCCAGAAGAGTAAAACCTCGAGAAGGCAAGAAAGGACGGGATCTAGAACCCCAGGACTATCCAGCTCCAGGAACTGGGGTGGGAACAGCATATTTTCACCTTTATACCAGAAGGACCAGAGGCAGAAGACCCAAATGAATTCAGACATAAGCTAGGGGCATTTATGGCTGATGGTTTTAATTTTTTTAATTAAATACAATTGAAACAGGATAATTAGGTCAGAGTGAAGGGTGCAGGAATGGAGTAGGGAATTTGAGAAGATAGGCAAAGGTAGGAAATAGCATCCTAAATGATGGAAAAGCAAGTTTATTAATTACAGGTTGAATGCCAAGTGGTGGGTTGAGATTATGCATTTAAAAAGAAGCTTCTCAGCTTGTGTGATTTTCTCCAGCAACATACAGTTGCTCAAATTCTGGCAGGTAATGGGTTGAGTACATTCAGCTTGGAGTTTTGCCAAGTGAGTATGACAGCTATAGAGAGAGACACAGAATGACTGAACAAGTGATGAAAACTGTGGACCATATAAAGAATTCTCGACAGAAGGAATGTCTTGACGAAAGGGCAGATTCTCACTCGATTTCCAGTCTCTGGGTCTGTGCTTCCGTTCCCTTCCATCTCCCCACAACCACACACACTGCATTTGGACAGATGTATGCCTCTCTCTATTCTGACTGGAGGCTGGAAGAGAGATTTAATCAGCTCCCAGCCCAGCTTCTGGAGTTAAGTCTTGGTCTCCTCTGACTTGCAGATGCAGATTCAGATGGGTTCTGAGCACCTCTGAACCCATCCCTGTGCCCAGATTGAATCTTCATGTGGTACCCTGGTTCAAAGAATGGGGCTATCATCACCTAGAACCCCTTTCTCAGACCTATGCTTCCATAAAATGGAGATCCTCAAACTAGTGGCTATAGTTCTCCTGCCTGCCCCCAACCTTCTCACATTAGGGCCTCCCCACCATGTGCCTTTTTCTGCCTCTCATGTCACCAGCTCTCTCTAAGGGAGAAAACACTGTAACATGATTGGTCAGAACCCAAGCAATCAATGGACCATATTTTACTAGTAGGCTTGATCAGTTTTTTAGGTGGTGTTTTGTTTCCCATTTGACCATTGTTCCTTGTGGGTACCTTCCTTAGAGAATAATCTAATGGGAAGAAGGGTTGGCATCCAGGTAGGCCTGTGTTCCTGGCTATCATGTCACTATAGTAGAACCCAAAGCTCACTTTGACTCCTCAACCACCCCACAACCTACCAGGATTCCTGATTAAATGCACTGTAAATTCCCCATGAATTAGCCTTACCCACTTAATGATATCCCCAAACCTTCGTTTTGACACCCACTACAACATTACTTACTATAAATTGAATCAGGTCCCCAAAAAAGATATGTTGAAGTCCTAACCCCCAATACCTCAGAATGTGACCTTATTTGGAAATTAGGTCATTACAGATGTCATTACTTAAAACGAGGTCATACTGGAGTAGGGTAGGCCCTTAGTCCAATATGGTTGGTGTCCTTGTAAGAAGAGAAGAGCTGCAGAGACTCAGGTATTGTATATTCTTCCCTTGTGGGAAGAATACCATGTGACAACAGAGACAGAGACTGAGGTATACAGCTCCAAGCCAAGGAATGCCAAGGATTGCTGGCAAAGCACCAGAAGCTAGGAAGAGCCCAAGAAAGATTCTCTCCTACAGGCTTCAGAAGGAACATGATTCTGCTATCATCTCAATTTTGGATCTCTGCCTCCAGAACTGTGAGACAGTAAATTTCTGTTGATTTAAGTCACCGAGTTTGTGTTGTGTTCCCGAAAGGGTCTACGTGACATGTGGCCATGACAGCTATCCAGCTCAGGAAACATGGAGTGCTCCAGCCAGCCCAGGAGGAAAGCACCTGTTTCCTTACCAGCAGTGCAAGAAAGAATTCTGAAAAAGACCAAGAACGGCTCACATTGAGCCATCTGCATAGTGACCGAGGGAAGCCAGGGCCCCTGGATGCCATGTCTCTGCACACTAGAGCAGAGACCACACTCTTCAGGCCACCCAGCATGTCAAGATGTGTGAAGGCAGGATGCCAGGACCCTAGACGGACTAAACTGTCAGCAAAATGAAAGAAAGTCTGTTTAACTTCCTCTCAAAAATGAATGACTAAGCCAGGTCCAGTGGTGCCCACCTGTAATCTCAGCTGCTCGGCGGGCTGAGGCAGGAAGATCTGGAGCCCGGGAGTTCGAGGCTGTAGTGAGCTATGATCACACCATTGCACTCCAGCCTGGGCAACAGACTGAGACCCTGTCTCTAAAAAAATAGAAATAAATAAAGAGAAAGAAAAATCAAAATTATCTTTTTTAAAAAACTATTTATCATCAGAGACAGAATACATTTTTAGAAACCTGCTTGATGTTTGAATATCATGAAAGATTCTTGGTCTCTGTAAGGTAGACTAACAGAATCACAAAGACTCAGCTGAGTTAAAAATTGGAAAACAAAGGGAACTGGATGAAATTTAAAATGTATAAAGTTACAATGGAATAAAAATAAAGTAGCAAAACATTTTAAATAGCCCTAAAGGACAATAAATTACAATGATCAGCAAAGTTGACCCTCCAAAAAAATATCATCTGCAATATAGAGAGCACATTTAGGAAAATCTCCAAGATTAGTGATGAAAGAAAACAGGAGCTGAGAAGGATGAGAGGAGGCGATAACCATGGAAACAGATATTGAACATCAAATCACAAAAAGTCCTCAGAAAGCAAGAAGCTCATCCTGATGTAGCATCTAGGGGATTAGTCCAATGTACAAGGCCACTCTTAGGCCAGAGGGGTCCCTGCCCTGGTCTCCAGATTTTAGACAGTTCTGTTTTGGCCGTTTCAGGCCACGCCCCTTCCCATGAAGCAAAGTCATGGAGCCAACACAGTGAGCCCATCCCATTTGTCCCTTCCCCCACACCCTCCATCCAAACTACACTCTGGGTATCCTGGATTAAATTCTTTGCCCAAACAGTTTGAGTCTGCTTCCCAGACTTGTGATGGCCTCTTCCCTGGACTTATCCTCCAAAAATTAGACCACTCCAATAGTGTGCACATGTCTGGGCTTGAGGTGGGCAAGAAGCAGCTGGTTGCAGGACCTACAGACAAAGCTTCGACGTGCAAGCTGGGATGTCTACCTGTGTGCACACACTGGCCCCTTGCAAAGCCTCCATGGGTTGAAGCCAGGAGCAGGAAGAGAAAGTGAGGCAGTCTGGAGTCTGGGGACCATGACTCTCTGCAATGCATATTCTCAGAACTCAGAGGAGAATGAGGATTCTAAATTCAAACCAGCCTTCCAGGTGTTTATGCAGGTATATCTGTCCAGGTAGGAGGAGAGAACATATTTTATTCAACAGTATGTTAGCATGACTTATGATGCTTAAATATTTAAACATATGGTCTATGGTCCTCCATTCATGCTGTTTCTGTGGGCCTCACAATTATGGGGGACAATCAGGACTTGCCAGTTATATTATCATTTGTGACAATCCGCTCCTTCAGGTCACCTATATTAAGAAATGTGACATTTTACCACCGCTGTGCAGAGAGCAGCAGCCAGCTTCTTTCATAGACAAGGAGATGAAACACTTTCTGGAAGGACACCTTGCTACAATTAGAACCAGGAGCTGGAGCATCAAAACCCAACAGTGCTCTCCCTTTGGAGCTGAGCCCATGAGAGCAGGACCCCAGAGTGGAACCCAATGCCATGAGTTGCTGACTGAGGTGGCAGCCAGGGTAGAGGCCCTCACTGCCACTGCTGCACTCTGGGTGTCACCTCAGGATTGTTGACCTGCTTTCTGCTGGTAAAGCTCAACGGTTTAATTCCTAAATGACATTGTACACAGCCAGTGACATTGTGCTTCTAGTTTCACAGGTATTCCATGGCAAAATTCACCTCCTTATGCCTGGGAATTTTCAGATCTTTAATCCAGACAGCCCTGATCAGTTTGACCAGGTACCCTCCACCCAAGCGTAATGTTTGGGGGGAGCCACTACTGCTATTGACAGTGACATCTGTGTGTGGCCACTGGGGGAGCTTTTGTGCATTAGGCCATCCCTAATGCATCTCAAGGAGCTTTGGAGGGAACAGATTGGACTTCTGGACCAGCTGCTGCTAGTCACAGATGGGTACTTGTGGCAGTTAATTTTACGTGTCAGCATGACTAGGCTATGGTACCTAGTTATTTGGTCAAATACCAGTCTAGATGTTGCAGTGGAGGGTGTTTGTTTTTCAGTGTGATTAACGTTTAAATCATAGACTTTGAGTGGAGCAGATTACCCTCCCTAATAAGGATAGGCCTCATCCAACCAGGTGAAGGCCTAAAGAGCAAAGACTGGGGTTTCTCAAAGAAGGGATTCTCTTCAAGATTGCAACAGAGAAACCCTATCTGAGTTTCCAGCCTGCTGCCCTGTGGAATTCAGACTCATGACTGCAGCATCTACTCTTATCTGAGTCTCCAGGCTGCCAGCCTGCCCTACAGGCCTATAGATCTCTGATTTGCCAGCTCTTACAATCACGTGTGTGTGTGTGTGTGTGTGTGTGTGTGTGTGCGCGCGCGCGCACGCATATATATATATATATGCATATCTCCTGGAGAAGCCTGCCTAATACAGTATTGAAACACTGCATTCTGGAATGCAATGGGAATGGGTGGGCTGGGGATTTTGTTTGCACCCAATCTGTATAGACAGGCACCTTGCTTAACTAAGATACATTCAAATCCAATCAAAGCTTCTGATCAAAGGCAGAGGCAGGGTCAGTCTCCAGGCCCAGTAAGCCCTAGTAATGTAGGAATTGGATTGCACTGGTGTCCTGGCATAAGGCCAGGCTGGTGGGGGAGTCAGGAAGGGAGGCTGCAGCTCAGTGATCCTGCAGCCACCTCCTGCTCTGCTCACTGGTTCTGAACAACCTGGTCCCATGGGGCAGCAGGCGAGCCCCAGAAGTCACTCTCTGATGGGGAGGGAATTTACACTGTGACAGACCAGGCTTCCAGGGGCACAGAGCCTAGGCAGGACTGAGCCCAGTGGTGGCTAGTGCTGAAAGCTGCCAGCTGGGGAGGTCTGGAGACCATGGGCCAGCACAACTGGATGGGGTTCCCACTAACATCCACACACGGCAGGCAGAGCCTGGAGTCAGCTTAACCCAGAGTGGCTGCCCTGTGGGTGACAACAAGCAGGATAGCTGCAGCCAGAATCATGACATGACTTCTGATGATTCTCTCTTTAAGACTTGGTTTCCTTATCTGGAAAATGGGGCTAATAATACCTGGGAGCTGTGCAGTGAGAATTAGAAAGCGTAACACAGTGTGGAACCGCCAAGCCCATAGCTTATGCCCAAAAATGTTCAATTCCTTCTTCTTTTCTTAGGAAGAAATCAGAGAGCCTATCATGAGCAGTGACTTGAGCAGGCACTGGAGCCGTTTGTTAACTCTTGACCTTGGACAAGTGCCTTTACCTCCTCCATGCCTGCCCCTTCATCTGTGAAATGAAATATCTACCCACAGAATTATCGTGCAGACCAGTGGAGACAGCCCATGCAGGTAGAGCACTTAGCAGAGTAAGCTTTCGGTAAGTGTTAGAAAAAGAAGGCTG